TGCATTTTAGACACGGTCAGACATCGATCACATTTTTTTATCTAACTACTTCCAAAGTTTACACTTGGATGGGTGACTGGACAAGTCAAAAGACCAAAAAAGAATGGATGGATTATACCATGTCTTCCCCAGAAAGTGGATAAAACTTCCCGTTTGATTGTATTAACAAAATATGATAAAACGAATATTGTTAATATAATTTAAATAATTATATAATAAGAACAAGTACACTTTGGGGTTTTATTGTTCTGATTTTGATTCTCTAGAAATTGTTTAGAAATACCTCATATATATATATATATATATATATATATATATATGAATAGATAAAAATGTTATGTTGGTTTGTTATCGGTCAAAACCTACACCGATTCATCTTGTCGAAGTAAAATGTTTTTTGAACTATTAAAATCGGACGCTTCGACCTCTTAAAAACTGAGTTACCGTTTTTGGCACGTTTTGCTCCATATCTTTTGTACGGCTAGACCTGACTTTGCCTAAAAAACTAATCGAATTGTTCAAATCGGTTGATCAGTGTTCCAGAAATCGTCGACGAAAATTTGTATCCGCACACACATACACGAGTTGGAAATAGTAAAGCAACGGGATTAGATGGAATTCCTAATATCGCCTTAAAAACATAATTTATGACATTCCGACAATGTTTCTTAATGCCTATAATACATATCTAAAAGAAGGAGGTTTTCCACGTAAATGGGAACAGCAAAGATAAGTGCTTCTTCCCAAAGGAACAAAACCACCAGATGAACCATCATCCTGCTGTCCGATAAACATGCTGGATACAGCGGGTAAATTTTTTTAAAGAATAATTCACCAAAGAATAGATGCAGTTGTTGACCCACTCCTAGCAGACAATCAGTATGGTTTTCGCAAAGGGCGATCAACTATCGATGCTATAAACTTGGTAGTTAATACCGCCAAGGAAGTAATTTCTGGAACCAGATGGAAGGGGGATGCAAAGAAGTACTGTCTAGTAGCTATATTGGATATAAAAAATGATTTCTATTCTGCAAACTGGGATTGCATTATGAATGCACTCCGTGACAGGAACGTGCCAGTATACCTCTGCAATATAGTCGCAAGCTACAGAAGAATTTAATAGTATTTTCCCGTTCAGTTTCCTGTCTAAGTAGATGCCGAGATACTTTATTGATTCTTTGGGCGGAATAATTGCATCATTGAGCACAACTGCGGGGAAAGTTTGAGTGCAAAGCGTGAAAGTCATATGAACTGATTTTGCGCTAATGGCTTCTATCCTCCGCAGCGAAGAATTAGCTTTTCAATTATTTTGGATATGCAAGACAATAAACTAATCGGCCTGTAGGAAGATAATAAATGAGGGTCATTTCCTGGTTTGACTATAAAGATTATTTTTCTCTTCCTCACGACTGCGGAAAATTTTTCAATCTCAGTATAAAGTTGTATGTTATTGTGAGCATTCTAATAGCTTTTCTGGGAAGTTCTTTTAACATTTTCTAGAATTTGCTTTTAAATTTCTTGACTTTTTTCAACCACAGCAAAAAGATTAACATTATGAGTTACTAGCGACGGCAGGTCCTGAAAAAAATCATAAATGAATTGTTCATCATTGGAGTTGCATTTACGTAAAAATGACTGAAATGTGAGGCGCAGGCGTTCGGCGATTGCATCAGTTTTTTTCTTCTGGACTCCTTGCCCATGATCCGTCTATTTTTTTAATCGAGGAATTGGTACAATTGGTCTTTTTAATTTTTTCGTTGTTTTCCAAAGAGAATAAATTGTTTCACTACTTGCAGAAAGATTATTTAAGTAATTTTCAAAAGAATCATTTTTATAATTAACTAGCAAACCGGGCGAACTCCGTTTCACCACCAGATGGTTTCATTTTATGTAACATTGCGTTTGGTGATTAAAAAATAAAGAATAAAATTGCCTGTTATTGAAATTGAATAAAAATTTGCACAATACACATGATTGATTTGATGGTTTCGAATTGAAATGTTAGGAAACGAATTATTTTTTTTACTCTTTTTGCACAATTTCACAGTGAATACAATGCCGGTTTGTCACATGAAATTAACTGAGCAGAAAACAATGAGTAGCTGTCAAACAAATGAGTGGCAGTCGAACAAAAAATATTAGTTTGCAGTACGTGCTAAGTATCAAAAATGTGCTGTATGTGAAAAAAGAAAAAGTGTTTTCCGCTTTTCTGTTGAAATCTTTCTTCAATTTTCTTTGCTATAAACCTCAAGGAGCCCGAGATCTTTCCAACGAATGCAAAATCGTCGAAATCGGTTCGTGCGTTCTGGAGTTATATCGTCAGGAAGGAAAACGCGACTTATTTTTATATGATAGATTATTAAATTTTTCAGGTCTCTGCACGCAGAGTTAAATTTTCTTTTATCTTCTAGTGATCTAGTTGTTTGTTAAATTCTTCTTAATTTTCTTTTCTTTGCAATGACTTTTTTAATATCTATGGCCACAGAGTAACCGTGAATACGATTTAGAATAGGAGTCGATATTTTAGATGTTGTAATTAGTGTATTTATAAAGTTGTAATTAGTGTATTTGTAAAGTAGAATATTACAGTTGTGATTGTTTTCGATGTATTCTTGGAAAAGATGCCAATCGGTAAATTTGTTTGTAAGCGAACACTTAACGTTGGTTGCAGTATGTGTGGAGTGTTTAAGAAATACTGGTAAATGATCAGAACTGAGATCTAGGCTTGAATTTATTTCAACAGTTTTTAATATTTATGGCTACAAAAAAATTGAGGAGATCTTGAATTTTGTTCAAATCAGTTGGCCAGTATGTGGACTCACCCGTAGAAAATGTCCGGTGATTATTACTATTTATTGTATTATACAATTCATGGCCTCTAGGTGTTATTAGTCTTACCGATCAGATCCCCAAAATTTGTGCTTTGCGTTATAATCACCTCCCACAACGAACAAATTTCCAAGGCAAAAATGTTGTGAACTGATTTTCAGTAACTATGTGCCTTGGCGGACAATAGATTGCCGATACTGTAATTTTGTGAGACATTAGGTCAATTGAAACGTTTATCGATTGTATATAGTCAGTATAAAAAGGTTCTGTCTCATAATGTTTGATGTTTGACTTGGCGATAATAGCTGTGGCACCGTGAGGTCTGTCGTCCGGGTATTTTGTGGTATATGTGTGATAATTTGAAAAACGAATATTGTGATTTGTCTCAGAATAATGCGTCTCAGATATTAGCATAATGTCAACGTCCTTGATAGTCAAAAAATGCTTAAGTTCATGAACATGATTGCCCAATTAAATTTTTTTTATTAGGTAAAATTGTTGTTAGTAAATTATGCATTATGCTTATTTGTTCTGTCAATGTTTCAATCATATTTTTAAGTTCTGTTAAGTCATTAGATTTGTTGTTAGTATTGTTTTCAAAGTTACTATTGTTTACTGAGTTTGTTGAGTAAAGTTGTGTTGTTTCTAGTGATATTCGAGTAAGTTACACCTGGTCTTAATGTAGTGTATGGATTCAAATTTTGAATATTAGTTGTTTTCTGACGTAATGAAGTGTTTTTTTTTCAATGTGCCCTTTATAGACGTGACAGCATTATAGTTAGCAGGGTGATTTTCATCACAAAGGACACATTTCATTTGGTCGACCTTATTTCCTTATTTCCATTTCTTTTAATTTTATTATTAAAAGTTGAGCTAATGGTTTGATATCACGTACATCATGTATAAAAATTGGCGGCTGTCTGTTAACTGGACTGCATTCATCACTTGAGTCTGCGGTATTAGGATTAGCTAAAACTTCATATATATATATATATATATTGCTGGTGGGAGTTGGGTTTAGCCATAAATTGAATTTGAAGATGTTTTCTTGCATGTTAGTTCTTCATTTACATTTCTTTAAATTTTTTTGTTTCTAACTTCAACCTATTTTGAATCCTTGCTGGTGGATGCTTTATCTTGATTAAAATCATTTTGAGAAACTGAGCCCTTATTCTGATGTGAAGAATCTTGCTCAACAATATCTGTATTAGACCTCTTGTACTTGTTAGCACTTGTATATACCGTTTTCGTTTTGGTTGAGGAGCACTCTAAATCCATCTGATCGGTATCCGTATTTGAAATTTTTGACATCTCTAGATAAAGATTATTATTCCCCCGTAGGGAAATATTCCACTAGACCAAAATCATAAAATTTCTTCAAGATCATTGCAAATTGAATAAATATAATAATTTTCAATATTATGAATGTCACAATATTTTGTTTTTTTATGATGCCAAATGACATGCCAAATTCACTCTAAAAAAAGAACAACGCATTTTTTGCAATATTTTCTATTACTGTTTCTGAATATTTTTTAATGTTTAAAGATTTTAGTATTTTAAGTGTTTAAGTTCTATTATAAAATTATATTAAACTGTTTAAATCGTACCAAACTATTTATCCAGTTATACAAAATTATAATGAATGAGCACATGCGTCTTGTGTTTTTTTGTGCCATAATGGGCATCCTACCAACTGGACATTTATATCGATTCAATACGACAGAGCGTACAATTGAAATCGAAACATGTTATTTAAGCCTAGGATGTGTTAGTTACGGCCCTGAGTGGTATCATAAACTATATCGTCCGGTAAACGAACTCCCGCTAGCTAGGCACACGGTCAACACCCAGTTCTTGCTATATAGTCAACTAGAGGGCTCACATGAGGGCCCTAAGGAGAAGCAGCCCTTGCTGATCGAAGTGGTGTCGGCAGTCCCTTCTACTGTTAACATTTCTGCCTATGTCACCGGAATGCCAGTCAGAATGATAATACACGATTTTACAAGTAGCGGTTTTACGGGTTGAATTAAGCATTTAGCGCATGCAATAATCGACGTACCAAATTCAGGAAATGTAATATCTGTCAACTGGGAAGAGGGTGCTGAACCACCGTATACTCAAGCCATAGCCATAGACTTGTAGCATTGGAAATTATACATTTTGTGGAAATGCTACACAATCACTATGGACTTGAATTTCCACATCTGCATATAATAGGCCACGGAGTTGGTGCTCATATAGCTGGTTATGTTGGCGAAGGTTAGGCCAAATATTTTTTCTATAGCACAGAGTAGTACTCAAAAGACCGCGGGTAAAAAGGTTTGTTTTAGATGAATAGCCAGCCATCACCTTAATTCTTACCAAAATATTTTCTTTCGTTGTTAGTTTTCTTGATCACCACAGTGTTCACCACTGTTGTGTAGTTTACAAAACCATAATATAATTTAAAGTCTATATTATTTAAAAAATTTATAAAAAGTATTGTTATTTTTAAGTTAGATTCAACTGCTTTTTGTTTAAATATACTCCATAAAAGCTTGCTTGTAAATAAAAAAGTAAATTAAGTTTAAACACAATTTACAAAATATCAAATTCAAAAAAGCTTTTCAAACTTTTCTAATAATTATTAAAATTTAAAATGAATTGCTCAAAGTCGAATTGGATCTTTGAGCCTTACCCTCACCCTATAATTATATGATAAATGCTTTATAGAGTACTTTTAACTTTTACCTTTTAGGCGGCGTAAAATGGGACAACCAGGGGGCAAACGATTTGATGTCTTATTTTTAATTTTAAAGGGATTTCACAAAATAATAGCCAATAATAAACAACAATAGCAAAATAATAGCCACAAAATAATTCAACCAATGCAACATATAAATTTCATGGGTAAATTTTTTACAGAGATAACACTGTAAATAACTTAAATAAAATCTAGTATTTTATCAGAAATAATCGTAGTTGGAATAACTATTTAATTAATTTATCTTGAATTGCATTTTTAACTTGGCCTAGTTTAATATCTACTATTTTTTATTGTTTGCCAGGGTAAAGGTTTCATTGGTTCTTTCTACCTCATTCATATGTAAGCTTTTATAAACGTTATATAAAAAACTGTTGAATCTAACTTGAAAATAACGATAGATCATACAAAACAATTAAATAACGTATACCTAAAAGTTACATCAAGGTCTCGTAAACAGAACAATAGTGCTCACAATCAAGAAAACTAACAACAAAATAAAATACTTTTGTTATAGATTTTCAAATACATCTTTTTCCCTTTTCTTTCAAATATCGTTGCTAAAAAATTCTTAACTTGACTTGTTTTTGAGATAGTGCTAGTGAACTTTTTTACCCGCAAATATTCAAGCCCCGCTCTTCTCTATAGCATCGAAAATCATAAATTGCGCATTTAAAATTGTGGATATATAAAAAATAACAAAAAGTAATATGATTGGCAATTTGATAATGTATACAATTTAAATTTTGGCTTGATATTAAATTAGTGCTTAAGTTCTTGAATATATTTTCCAATTACGTGAATTCAATACGTCAATTAATAATATAATATTAATTTTTACAGCTATTAAGGAAAATGGATATAAAACTATAGGAAAAATCACTGGTCTTGATCCCAGCGGACCTTATTTCGAAAGAATGCCCAAAAAAGTAAGATTAGATATAGGAGACGCTACTTATGTAGAAGTTATTCATACAGATGCGGAACCCAATGGCCAAGGTATTATGGAAGCCATCGGCCATGTCGATTTTTACCCAAACAACGGTTATTCCCAACCTGGATGCAACGTGTCTAAAAAATATCCACATATCTTGAAACTGACGAGGGATTCTCTAAAAGAAGGACAGATATATCCGGGATGTTCTCACAAACGATTATTTAAATATTATATTGAATCTATAGCAAATTCAAATTGTAATCATATAGGATTTCACTGTAATAAACTACACCATGTTTTTAAGAGGTAGCTGCACGTCTTGTGATTTAACACGTCTCCCTCATGCACTGAACTTGGATTGAACACTCCTTTTAACGAATCTTTATTTCATTTACCCTGTTCTACAAAGTACTACTTTAGGACGGGCTCATCGGGAACATATTGTTTGGATTTGTATAAATTTAAAATTAGTTTTGTTTCTGAAGCCAGAAACCCTACTCAAATTATGGGATATTTTGATGTTAATTTGATGACTGGTGACCTTGTAACCAATATGATTCTAAATGAATTCAGATTTTATACAAAGATTGATTCATGCCTAGAGAATTACACATACGTTGGATGGTCTCAACCACCTTCGTCTATAGATTACATAAATTCTGCTAGATTTAAATGGAACTATGAAGGAAACTCATTAAGTATTACCAAAAATAGCCAAGTTCATATTAAAAGAGTAACTATTTCACGCATTACAACTGATAAATCAACACTAAATAGATTATGTCCGGAGGAAATAGATGCCTATCAACTGAGACCGGGACAAATAGAGCTATTTCATTTGTGCGATGGCGAAAGGAATCAAACTATTCCAACAACCACTTATGTTATTGACACTTAAAGTAATATTGATGATAATACAACGCATGTTTCAACAGATTTTGAATGAAAGCCACATATTTTTTATTATTTATTTACTTATTATTTTATTTATTATAACAGATTTTGAATGAAAGCAAATTCGAATAAAAGAATAAATAAGAAGCCACATATTTTTTTTATTATTTATTTACTTCATTTATTTATGCTTGCCCGTTTGATTTCAATTGGTTACAACAAAAACGTTATTGATCAAAGAGTTCAATACTAATACGGAAGAATTTAATTTTTTTCCAAACAAAAGAATAATTTTGAATAGATTAAAAATTATCTGTCTAAATACTAACAACTTTTCGAAGTTTTCAAAAGCCTAATATAGTTCATGCAAATAACGAGAAAATTGGAAAATGAAAATAACATAAATATTATGTTAAGTAACATAAGAATTTCTGAATATAAAACCATCAATAATACATTTTAATTTTGAAAACACTATACTAACTAGTTGCAAGTGGCATTTTGCCTTAGGGCAAATTGCATACACATTCCGATATGCGTAATAATGAATTTAATCAACAATAATTATTATTGATTAAATGCATTCAATCTGATTTGTATATGATCTACCTGCCTACCGGTATACTTGTTTACCTACCTACCTCTAAGAGTGGACAGGTATCTTTCTTAAGTGTAAACTAATATGCTTTGATATTTGACTGTTGATATTTAAAATATGAGCCATATTCCTACAGGATGTAATGTTTCTGAAGATTACTTGATGCAAAAATATTGAAATTACTAAACCTAATCTTTAAAAACTAGATGCAAGTGGCGTTTTGCCTTAAGGCATGTTGCATAAACTTCCCAAAATGTGTAAATATTTGATTTTTATATGATCTACCTCTAAGTGTCTATCTGTTTAAGTAACTACCTATCTAAGTTTGTACATGCCTACCTGTCCATCCGTTTACCTACCTACTTGCCTACTTTTCTACCTTTTTATCTGTCTACATGTTTACCTCTCTGCGTGCCAACCTGTCTATCTGTCTATCTTTCTACTTCTCTGCCAGTTTACTAACTGGTGCGTCATTTATATGTGGTCAATAGAAATGTTGACTAACTTGAACAATTTTCAACGAATTTTAAAAAACTTTTATTATTATCAAATTTGAAGCCTTACATTTTTTTAGGTGTTAGGTTCAAAAAACAACGTCGATCGAACGACGCTTTTCATTGCGCAAACAAAACTTTGCTCTTTTTTCGAAATTTTCCATGACATTTGCCAGCATCTCGGACGATATCGCAGCGATTTCAGCGGGAATGTTGTTCTTCAGCTCGTCCAAAGTCTTCGGTTTATTAGCATACACTTTGCTTTTTAAAAAACCCCACAAGAAAAAGTCTGGTGCGGTCAAATCGGGCGATCTTGAATAGTCGATATCCACTTCGTTCGATATCACACCGGAAATCCGGAAAATTTTTGCCGCAAGAATAAACTATTTACGCACGTCCTTTGGGTGTAAAGCAATACATGGCTGAAATTATATTGGAATAACCTTTACAAAAAGTCTTTATGCACACAATCGTTTGACATCTGTCAAAGTTATTCAATGTTTCCATTGTCCACATATTGATGGCGCACCATGTAGTTTACTTGTCTACCTGTCCACCTGCCTACCTAACATCTCATATCAATATTTTTTATTATATATGAATCAATAATAATGATTTGTAATGATCATTTCAGACCACCAAATGAATTTTTTTTCCTGCAACTCCGAGACTGCTGAACCTGTCTTTCTTCTCAATTACTCCTTCACTATTTTATTCACTATTATTCTTATTCACTACGTCTATACCAATAAAATGTTGTTTGAACCATTCGAATCTAATGCTCCGTTCTCTTAAAAACTGTCATTTTTTGCACACTTTGCTTTGTATCTCCGAAACAGCTAAACTTATGTTTATTGAACTATGGCTAAACCCGTCTTTGCCAAAAACTAATCAGCACGACTCTCCCAATCAATAGGAGTCGAATGGTTCTTGAATCATACAAATCGATTGATACGTGCTCTCGAAATCTTGGACAAAACTTTGTATCCATACAAACACATGCACATACATCCACTTTCTATTAAGTTATGCCAAAATGTGCAGCAGATCTTGAAACGTAAAGATTTCAATGTCGATTTTTTATAATTACTATAACTTACCCTACGGAAAGTTAAAGGCAATAACATACTACAAATGTATGAACATATAATTATTGAATTTGATTCTTTTTAATTCGCGGACGTGTAATTTTATATTTTCTTCAGGTTTCATATCGTTGTGAACCAATTAGATCGCAAAGGCTGTACGGTTATGAAGTTTTTGAGAGAACGAATCATCCGATTAGATTAATTCAAAACACATTTTGCTTAAGGACGGTGTGGTACAAATGTTTTTACAGAATATTTAAAAATTTTGAAAATTTTCAAAAAAAAACAAAATTTTCAAAAAAAATCTAAAGTTTCAAAAAATTCTAATTTTCGAAAAATTATCAAAATTTAGAATTTTTTTTTAAATTATCAAAAAATTTCTAAATTATCAAAAAAATCAAATAGAAAAAATGGACTTTTGTAAACGTACACATAAGTTGTTAATAAAATTATTCAAAACAATTATTGATTATTTTCATTCCTCGAATGTTTAATTACGGTACGGAAAGTTCCAGCAATTTGCCTTGAAGCACGATGCCATGCGTCCCACTAGTTTATTATTAAATTGTCTCTGCACGCACTGTTAAATTTTCTTTTATTTTCTGGTGATCTAGTACCACTACAAGGTAGAAAATTGTGATCGAGAATTTCACAGTAACATTGTCAAATTAAAAAAAACCCAAATTTGCCTTTTATCCTTCCTAATTCAAGTTTTATACAACAATTTTTTTCATACTTCTCATATTGTTTATTTTTCAGATTTGAGATTCAACAATTTTACGCAGCAGAAATTGAAAAGATATCTTACTATCAGTAGATCTCAAGACATTAAAAATGTCATAATACAAAATAAAACAGCACTTTATTACTCCTTGGAATGAAGATATGGAATAAACATTTATTAATACATGACTGAATTCGACAAAAATTATTCTAAAAGAATTTAAATAGATTCTTGAAACTAACTATTATAGGGCCGGGTTCAGATTCAACTAAATTTATGTATGCCATGAATTCGTGCTCGCAAACAAGTGACAATACATATTTAATTTTCCATACCATAATTTCATATTTCAAAGTTTCTTACTTTTTTTTATTGCCCTCATATAAATAATTATTTAAGTTACAAAATTGACTACAGCGAATAAATCAAGGTTATGGACAGATAAATAAACTATTCTATATGCACAAATAACAAATACTCATCTCATGGTGAAACTATCAATACGTAAGTTATATGTCATAATTAATTTTTATTTGTATCAAATTTATTTATTATATATAAACCATGTTAATTAGGTAAATTATTGGTTTCACTCGTTTCTTGTTTTGAAAATTTATTTAATTTAAATTTTATTAGCAAAATTAGTTTTTTTTAAATCAATAATCTATTTCATTGACAACTAAAAACTTTCGGTCTTTTATATATGAAACAAGTCGTCACTATTGTTCACTTCGAATTTTAGTCCATTATTTGTTAATCCACAATTATATAACAATTTTTAACTTGCATCAATATTTTTTGAAGCTTAAAAATGACGATGAAGATCAACAGAAATTGTGAATGTGTTATTGAGAATATGATTTTTGTACTTGCCAATAGGCCAACCATTTTGTGAAGATACTCTAAAGTGTACGTCTATGGATTAAAATTAAAACGACATAAGAATCGACCTAATTTTTTACATAAAGACCGACAAAACCTTTTTCGACAAAAAAAAAGTTCTCTATATAAATATTTAAACTTACTCATCTTGCTTATAACTTAAATTAATTCTGTTTGATAATTTAACGTTTACAGTTCAGTACAATAAAAGCAACGCCTAAATAAATTTAAAATAAAATACATTTCTATAAAATTAACTAAAAATCATTAATATATTCTGCACAAGAATTGTTAATTTATACCGCCAAATTGCCGAGTAACAAATATCATTAAAAAATTCTTCAGCAATGAGACAAATCCAAATGATTTTTCAGATCCAAATCTGAATTTGTGAGGGATGGTGGTCAGTTATCAAAGATACAGGAATTGTCGGAGATTGACAAATGGATTGTGCATTTAAAAGTTCTTGAGAAGGATTTTTAAATTTGTCAATTATTGCCAAAGTGGTAAGAGAAAAGATAAAAGCAGTCAGTAATTCATAAAAATATTTGTGTAATTAATTTGTACTATATATATATATATATATATATATATATATATATATATATATGTATTAGTAATATGCCGACTCGAAAAATTCCCAATTCAAATGATTCGAATCAGAAAAAAACCTGATTATATATATGGACAAAAAAAATCATGGATGTATTTATTTAGTAAAAGTGATCCAAATTTATAATCAATATTGTTAGTTTAACCAATATAACTGACAAAGTAAAAATTGAAAACATGAATTACTATCAAAATTATATTCTGAAAATTATTAAAAATGATTCAATTTTGAAGCTGGTTGAAACATATCTTCAAATTAAGTTACAATAATCGATTACCAAACAATTGTGCATCACCAAAGCATATAAATTAATATTTGGGATCATGGGTCGATTGTTTATTTTACTATATAATCAGTAAAGGATCAGATTTAAATTTAGAGCTGAAAATTAATTTCATTTGTAAATTTGCCATATAATTTACTGGCTTTATGGTGTTTAGTAATTGTTGTAAAAAAGAATTATATTGAAAGATTCCCGAAACTCGTTTCATAATTTTGAGTGGTCTAATCTGATAACATTTAAAATCTAAAACACTTAATTATTATTAAAATTGGGTATTGATATTTCACGAACAAAATCGCTCTCAGCGCTCCGTAAAATAAAT